GCAGTCTGGTAAATGAGTGGGAAGCAAATAGTAAGATGTTTATTCTGATTGTCATATAGCTGCTGTCGATTGTGCCTTTAAAGGTACCACTGGCTGATGACACGGACGTGAAAATCTGCATGCCTACCATTAACTTCATACTAAGATGCAAGAATTGGTCCCACCATGTAAGTACGAGGAAGACCGATATTCCAACGGTTACTTACATTCCTTTCTTTTTTGCCATTATTTTACAGTGTGCGTTTTTAAATGCGGCATGGACTCACCGTTTCACAGGCTGTGGCCAGGTTAGCATTACTTTTTGACGAACCTCGCTGGAGACTTATTCAGGTGATGGAGAAATTCGGTTGCATTTGAAATCGTTCGCGGTGCTTAGTCATTTTCACCCAAAGACGTTATTTAAATATTGATTTCTGTCGTTGTTTAAATTGAAAATTGAGGTATTTTTCGAGTTTTTTCTTGACTAGGATGATTCGGTTACCAAAGATTTGCGCGTAAATTTCTGTCATTTTCGATATACCGTGTGTCGATTTGTTCACATTGTGTACGGATTTTTTTTATTTCAGGTTTCGCGCCATGCAAGATTAATAACTCCCGGCAGTACGGCAGCTGTTAACCGTATGTTTGCAATGAATACGCAGCTACCGCTGATGGAGTACTTGGTGGTGGACGCGGCTGGATTTTTGAAAAACGTCGATTTACGAGTAAGGCTTCGTTCGATAAGCGGATATTGCAGAACTGGCTATTGTTGTTGTGTTCGCTTATAGAAAATAGCCAAAAATATATACACAGTTGCCGAAGTAGTTCGGGAGATTCGTGATTCCGCTACGCGTCGTCGCCTACAGGTACTGCCGTATGAACTGCATTATGCAGAACCGGATAAGGAGTCAATTATACATGGTACGTTGTTCGTTCGTCTCTTGAGTCACGCGTTTAATAATGACCTCAAGAATAATAATACATAATTCTTTACTTTAGGCGCTTAAAGCCAACTAGATTTCATTAACACTAGTACAGTTGGCAGTGTGTAGAATCATTCAGGTCATTACATCAGGTATGCGGCAAAGTTATCTTACTCTTAGAGAGCAGTATAAATGAGCATTCGACCATCACGTAGCTGTTACAACAGCTTTTATTTGCCAAGTCTATTTGCGCATGATTTAAAACGAAACGAAAAACAGCGATGGTATCGATGGACCTATCATAGGCTTATAATATGGTCTTGAGCGATGCGCTAATGTGCAAAATTACTACAGTAGTCAGGTTGTAGAACTCCTTTCATTCACAGCCATAATTAGCCATCATCGGTACGGGATCAATTTCGATGAGTTGGTCAGCGAGGGAAGAACCATTAACAATGGGTTTCCACAGTGTGCAGTACTTTTTCTGTTGACATCTATCAATGGCGTCTATGAAGTTAATTTACACCGATGATATCGCTCTAGCAACCAAACATACCTAGCAAGGACGATAGCTCAGTCCTCTAGAAAGGTGCACTTCAACATATTGAATGAGATATCGTACACAGATGATTTTTTCTGGCGAGAATACGATTCTTTTCTATAAATTGTTTCGTAAGAGGAGCAGATTTAACACGTGCTCTGTGAGAAAATTTAACAAACACATGGTTAAGTCAGTTTCGTTGATCGCATATCCTTTCGACTCGACGAATAGTACGTCATAGCCAGTTGCTGGTTAAGTGAACTGATTACTAAATTTGAATTACTGAGCAAACAGACTAGAAATAACCGAACGGGCAGTTTCCGGATTAGCGTAAAATTACATATGTGGCAAGCCGCCACACAAGATTTAGCAAGTATCAGTGCGAAAGAGGACGAAATGCAGTATAATGTATATGCTGGAATGAATGAATAATGATAAAGCTCCTTTCAACAGTGAAAAATCTGACGAATAAAGAGTCTCTGACAACGTGGGGGGGAGGGGGGTTGGGGCGGGGGTAGTGACACGTGGTGAAGCGATTCAACCACCAGCGAAGTTAGTTGAAAACTACCGCAACCCTGTCAACAACGGTGAGTGCGTGCCGCATTTAAAAGCGCGTAATGTCAATTCAAGGTAAAAAAGAAGGAAAGTTTATAACCATTGGAATACTGATTTTCTTACATTTATATGATGGGGCTAATTGTATGCACCCTTGTTTTCATGAAGTTAATCGTGTAGGCGCTCATCTCTATTTCAGTGTCA